AAGCAAATACTAAATGATATAAAAAAGGAAACAAATTTATGTATATTTCAAAAAAAGTTAATAATTTAAAAATATTTTTAAATAATTATAAGAAAAAGTTCCCATTAAATTAAAATGTAATTAGTAATGTTTATATAAATTTATTTGAAAATTAATCCCGTCCATTAATCTTTCATTGATTTTATATATTATTATATACTACATTAAATCTTTGCCCTAATATAAATAAGCTAAATTTAAGCTATTGGATTCATACTCTAAAATGGATATTATATTTTTTATATAACATAATATGGTTCCCAATCATTAATTTAAATTATGAAACGTTTTATTTTAAAATGTGACACCGCTTGGACGTGATCGGTATTCGTGGACGATAAATACACTCATTTGAATTAATTAATCTTTAAATTTTGTATGAGATCATATCCAAAATTACAGAATTGTATTGTATTTAAAATATTGTATTAGAAGCATCCTTTTTACTTATAGAAACGTAAATTTACATATTCTAAATATATTTGGTATGAAACGACGTCATTTTAAATTTAGTTGCAGCTTGTCGTTCTCAACAAGCCTGGGTGGAGCAGAGTTGGGGGTGTAGAATGTACTGTACCAAATATCTAGTAAACTATTAAGACTAGAATTTAGCTACACAAATACCTCGTTGAGATTAATAAATAGCATAATTTTGTTTAATTTTTCTAATTTTAATCTTTTTAATTTTAGTAGAATTTTAGTCACATTAGTAATTTTAGTTTTCTCATTTTACAGAAAATGTGGGAAAGGTAAAAATAGAAAAGTTTTTTGTGAATCAATTTTTGAAACTTCAGGCCAGAATCTGTGTCCAAATGGTACGATGACTAAAAGACAAGTTCAACGACATTGAAAAATGCATATTAACAATATTTGTTGTCAAATAAAAAATTTTTGAAAAAAATTTAGTATAAAAACAAAATGATTTTAAATTCGATGCTGCACGATTTTCTTTTGTCCGATTCATATCAAATTTTGCAGACGCCTTCTCACTCAGTGGCATAATTTTAGCAGGCAACCCAATCAAAACCACAAGTTTAATTTGAGCTAAGCACAACTAACATCAATCCTAACGAACATTCTTACTCGTAGTTGGATTAAAAGCCAGTATGCGCGCGAATGTTCAAGCTTGATGGCGTTAAGTGTTCTAGCTTTCATGAACCGTATTGAAGCGAGCTTCATTAGCTTCTCCATAGCTCTTAACTCATTACTCATTGGTTTAATACTGTACAAAGAGATCTGCGATTTACAGCCAATCATCAATCAACAAGGCACGACGAGAAATAATATCAAATATCTTTAGAAACTGTTATAGCTTTATCTTAATGCGTAGCGATTATTTAGAAGATTACAAGCAGATGTCTGTTAAGTAATGTATTAATTTTCTTCGCTCCATATCGAACAAGAAAGGAAACGAATACTTACGAATGTGGTGAACATGTAGTGATATCTGTAATCGTTCATCTGTAACTGGAGTATCTGCAACAAAGAGAAAAAGACGTCTGATTACTCGGCCTGTCACCGTTTATTCGATGGAAATGCCGTGTTTTTCTTTAATTCACCCTCAGTCAGGTTGGCGAATGGGAACGGGATCCATACGGATAAGAGGAAAATTGAAACGTTTCGCTACAAGAAATTGTTAAGTTTCGAGTAATAGGTTTGAAGCTTATGGATAGGCTGCTGTGATATCTATTCAAGTTTGTAATTTAGTAGAACAATTTATGAACTAGTTATCGATCTCAAAACCCTAATTCTCAAAATATCTTTGTCAAGTGGGATTAAAAAGTTCTACATAAACTTAATGTCGTTCATAAAGTATTCCTTCCTTTGACATATTTAAAATGTAACAAACTCTTCATGACGAGTATACTCGTCAAAAACAGTTATCTGATTAAGAACGATATATTGTACTATGATATTCTTGATTAAATTATACGATTTATAAAAGTGTTGTGTTTAAATAAAATATGAAGCAAGTCAAACATATACATATATGTAATTACGGTGACTTACAGACTTTTCAAAGAGATTGCAACAGCTAACTGATTAATATCCATGTTATTCGTAGAAAAGTGGAGATCGGAAAAGGTGTTTTATTTTTCTAGGAAAAGGGAACTTTAACGAAAAGCTATTTCTGAACAGTTCCAAATAAACATAGTTAATGATACATTAGCAAAGATAATACTATATAGCCAACCTTTGATACGATACTATTTGACTATTTGATTCATACAATTGGCATCAAAGATATTTTTCTCGGAATAACGGATGGTCTTATATGCACATTTACTTGCAGAGATCGTTATTTCTTTATCAAGATATATTACAATGTTCCACGTTAAATGTTGCACAATGTTATCTACCTTTGCCCTACTGGTTGGTACAATACATCCCTCGAAAGCTATCGTTCTTCGCTAAACGTATTTCCATCGTTCTTAATAGACGGCGCACTTCATCATCCTCTATCTATGCTAGTTATTTCACGCGTCGATCTATCATTGCGTATTTCAAGGACGGAATGTAGCCGGATGCAAGTGAATCGGCATGAATTTCTTTCAGGAGAGAGCGTGGCGGAATCAAAGGATCAGGGAAGAGGAAAGGAAAAGTAAAACGCACAAAGGAAGAAGAGTGTTGAAGGGGTGGAGGGTCGGATTGCAGGAGAGTCAAGACGTTTTTTGATTACTCAAGCAACGATGGGGTATCCGCTGGAATCCCCCTGAGACGCGGCATGCAAATAACGGTTTTCCTTCGACCACGCCTGATTCCAGATTGCCTACCGCCCAGCCATGGAGAGTCCCGGATTCACACTGAAACGATTCGCCTGGCAAAATCTCATCTGGCTATCGATTTCTCATAATAAAAAAGATTGCCCGAGATTCAATTAAAACCGAAGGAAATTCATGATGCCCAGTGAAGAAGGAAGCGCCGCGATCCAAAGCGGATATGAAAACGTTATTGGATCGTTCTCCTATCGAATTTGATCCCTTTCGTTTTGATTTATATAAAAAAGCGACTTCCTGCCATTCGAAGCCTCACTCAAACGAATAATCCGTGGCTTTAATATACCATTGATGAAAGCTGCTCGTTGGTATCATTTCGGCTCCAAAAAGTGAAGTAACGTAAACGAAAATCGAAAAACGCAATTAAATCCTTTTCCGATATTAAATTATACGTCCTATCCTGCGTGTCATGTGTCCCGTTTTGTATATCCGTTGCTGGATCATTTTTCTCTTGTATCATTTCGAGAAATGATCATAAACTCAAACATGTACAAATGTACATTGAAAAGTTAATGCTCTACATTGATGATTTTCATTCGGAGTTATTTGAATCCGCTTTAGAGTCAGTCAGTATTACTTTGAAGTTGATCACTAACTTATCATGTTTTTGTAACCCGTAACTGGTACGACGATCTTCTCAAATGTGACTAGTATATTCGCATCATGATAGAATTCAAATAAAAAGTGTCCGGCATACTACTTAAGGGCTAATATAATTCCATTTTTAATCACTACGTGGAAAAAATATCTTATTTTTAATGTTTCTTCTGTGTTACCGCGATTTTCAACATTTACTACACAAATCACTTCTTCTTTTTTAAATATTGAATATATTGACAATTTATGTATTGCGGTCGATATTTACTAATTTCGAGTTACATAAACTGTTGTATACCTATATAAAAAATTGAAGCTATAGAAGGTTCAATCCAATGTAAGATGTAAGTTTTTTTCTGTCTATTAATAATACCGCTTGGTTAAATATAAGACAAAATGGAGGGTAATTACCAGATTGCAGATTTTTATGCAAAATAAAAATTGTGAAGCTCAATTGTAAGAAACCAAGATTATAGTATGGGGTTACGCGCTGTGTTGACGTCCGTTCGCTAACTGTATGTTGCGTGTGGTCGTGGAATATGGAGGATAAGAAAAGGAAGCGTCTCGTCCGGATCCCCGTTAAAGGACTCATCAACAAGGCTATCTTAGCAGGGTCCTGCTTTAGACGCGCGAAGGACGGACGTAATTTGTATATATATATACAAATCGAGGAGGATCGATTACTTGCGGAAAAGGAGAATCCATCTAGCGGAGAGGACAGGTAGCACCCCTCGAAAGAAAACTATATTTCTACTTTTAATAATTCTAATAAATTCAGGAGAAGAGAGAGAGAAATTCTGAGAAGAAGAGAGAGATTATTCTGAAATTGTTCTATCGCGATTACATTTTGGCATTTTAAGTAGTCATTTCTATTATAAATGTATACAATCCGCAGTTTAAGCGTATACTTAATTTTTTCCTAATGAGCTACAGAAGTTATAAATGTATCAGATACTCAACCAAATAAATGGAAAACTTACTTTCTTTATGTTTTTCACAAAGTTGAAGTGCCAGTCACCATATTCTATCCAATAAATGTTATACAAATGTGCATTATTGCAAACGCAGAGTCGTCCAAGAGCGTTATACGGGTACGATAGTTCTAATCCCACATTCGATCGTCCTTTAACAACATTTCCTGGAATATCTGTTCGCGTCTTCACGAAGTCAGCGTTTCTCTCACGAATCATTTTCACCTACTCAGCGCTCCTCTTGGGGCGTCGTCTTTCTCTCTCAGAAATTCCGTCTACATAGTTCGAATCTGTGTAACTCTCAATACCCATATAACTGAAAAGATGCGCGAGTGCAAACATTTTTATGCTGACAGTAAAATTCATAGTGTGTTATCAAAAAATAGTGACTGTAAAATATAGAAATGTTGAATAGTCGGAACTCGATATTTTAAATATTTTTTTAAACTGTTGTCCTTTCGTACAGATGTCTAATGAATTGACGAGTTGCACATTCATTCTTAATTCAAGATGAAATTTTTATAAGTGGATTTTCACAAAACACAGATACAGATAACATTTTTCTGCTATATTGTTTCCAGCTTGTAACATTTTAAATGTATCAACATTTTAAATGTAACGCTTATTGTTATTTTAAAAATACATCAACTTTTTTAACCCCTTAACACAGAAATATTTTCATGTGTCGTTCTAATTAATCGATTTTTAAACTTCTTTTTACTTGATTGTCAAAAGAAAACTGATGTCATTCGAATCCCTCGAGGTACATGCACTTATACATAAAAAATAGAATATAATAATATATAATATAAAGTTTATACCGTTTAAAACTGTTCTTTGTTAATTTCGTGTACTCGTGATAGTTAAGGAGTTAATTTAAAGAGTTAATAAAAAAACTACTGCAAGTTCAAGATATATCCCTTTAAACTGAATTATGCCAACCATAATGTTGTATAAACAACAATTATTTAGTACATAAACATAAATAATGCAGAGACATCACTTTTATTCAGCTTCTGTCTTCTACATTTATATTCTTTATCGTTTCTTTTTTCGAAAGCCGCGTCATCGCTGCCACTGCATTATATTTCAACCGCTGCATCATATTTCTTGCATCTGTGGTGCGGACGTTATAATCTTTTTATTGACTAGAACGTTCTAGAAAAAAAAGACAAAAAAAGAGAAAGAACCGTAACGTGAGCCACGGATTTTTGCGAATGATCGAGGAACGTTTTCGCGCTGGCTCGAAAAACGAAGACCGGTCGCAGAGCAGCTGGCAATTTCCATCGTGCCGATACCTCGTCGGATTATGCAAATCTTTATGCGCGGTGAACACACGGCGATCCACGGATAAAGTGCTTGAAAATTGTGGAAAACACCGTCTCCGGGCGTGCGGACGAATCTGGGTGGGTTCACGGGAAACCGCGCACCTATTATTTCCGTCATTTTTTCCACGACGGCTCCGATTTCGCGTTTTCTGCGCGCATCGAAATCCCATTAAAACGGTCGCGTCCGTCATCGCGGCGAACGACCATACCAGGTGACTGGAACACGCGGTTAATCGTGTTTGACTGTCGGCTTGCAACCCTGGCAATTTTGGTTTACAGGATTTTGATTGTGAATCCATAAAAAATAGATACGTTCCTCGTCGCTCCAACTCGTTCAACGAGAACATGTGGCATCGTTCGATGAATCGATCGGTTTCGTTTTCGCTGGTCCCGCGAGTGTTTCGCCTCGTTTCCTTCAGGATGCGTCTGAATGGTCGATTCTTGAAAAGACCTAATCGCACAGTGCTCCGTACCATATGCAATAGCTGAGCAAAGCCCAAAATTCAAGTTGCAAAATTCAAAATCCAAAATTCAGCTTGTAAAATTAGGAATCCAAAATTCAAGTTGCAAAAGGCAAAACTCAAAATTCAAGTTGTAATATTCGAAACCTAAAATTCATTCACGAGCGAATGATAGGAAATAATTTATGTAGATACGATTTTGTTGAATTTACTATAAAAAAATTATCCAAATGATTTATGATTTTTTTCTCACGATTTCATTATATTATACAGGATGTCCCAAAATTATTGTACACGCGGAAAATGAGGGCTTCCTGAGGTCATTTGAAGTAACTTTTTCCT